TTCGATCAAAGGAAAAAATTTTACATTCATTTCGTATCATTTAATTTTGTTTTTAAATTAATAAAATGAAACTTTCTTACACTTTGCTGTGAAATTTACGTATCAAAAGCAGTGCGTATGAATAAAGCACAACAACGTTAACGTTGCTGAAATTAAAAATGGTTAACTTATTGGGCTAACGAAAAAACATGTTCTCATATATTGTCTTGTCATTAGCAACCTTCTCAAACAATAATTAACAGTTCTTTAACACAAAAAAAAACTTTCCTGTTGTTTTATTATATTTTCCCATATCCCAGTTGGTAAATTTTCCCTGATAAGTTCGTAAATGTAAAGGGAAGCTACTCAAATATCCTAATATTCTAGGCAGAAATTTTGGGTTTCATTTGCGCTCCTTTTCATCTGAATTTCAAATCGATCATATAAATACGTATCACAACCTGTCAATACTGTTAAATCTGAAAGAGTCTGTTGCCGACTGTTTAAGATTAAAAGAATTCCGTCCTCATTTATGCGGTGTCTAAGAATTAACACATTAACGGCATTTTCCAGCTTTGGTAGCATAAAACATTTCTTCACAGTTCTATTGTTCATATCAGTTATCTCTAAAACATTAATTTAACATAAGTATGCTGATTTCTTTCATTCTTTCCCATAACTGTATTGTTGTCATGCAGGGGATAATTCAAAAAGAAACAGACAGGCTTCGAAATTCAGGAAAATATCTATTAAAGTAAAACTATTTAACTATTTCATCCAAAAGTAATCTGGATCAAACGGGAAATATACATGTAAAGACAGCCAAAGTAGTTCCGGCTGCTTAGTGCAGGCGAACTCTAGATTTTATTGATGCAGTTATCAAAACATTTTTTTATTTATCCAATCAGAATCAAGTATTTTATAGAAATTAAATGATTAGCCAGTCAAAAGTAAAAAAAAAATTGATGGTCAATATTATTCGGGTGGACTAATATTTCAATTATCTCATTTTCGTGTATATAGAGTTATATAGTAAGAATATCTTACTGAATATAACAATGTTGTGAAGTGCGTAAGATATTCTACATAATAATATAATAATGAATACAATAAAGACTTGCAATGGTGATGGGTAACGTCAGTTACAACCCACCTGAGCTGTGGATCTCGAAAGACTTCTGTATGGTTCCAGGGTAAATTCACAACTGACTATTATTAGAAAGTAAACACTTGTTGTACGTAATAAATAGTAATCCAAACCCGACCTCTTTTTTACTATATTCCTCCCCATTTTAATTGAACCCAAGGTATGACACAAATCAGAATACCCGACTTGATGCCATTTAAATATAAAAATTGAACACAAATATTAAGAACGATAAAATATAATCTTAAAATCTTAACACCTATTCAAGTAGCATTTGTGGGGCATCTCTAAAACCAGCTATACTTTTCTTCTTCTGCCAAATGTATTTCTCCTGAAAAGTCGTTCTTTTTTGTGACTGACCAATTGATTTTATATGAAATATCACCTTTTATTTTCTTTCTTCCCTTCATTAAGTTTTCCCGAATTAGAATACTTATGAATTAAAAGTTGTTTTAAAAAGTTAAAAAGAATAAAATTGGTGTATAAATCTCTTTCTTATAACAACCTCATATAAAAGATAAAAGCTGTGAAAGACAGTAGTTACTCAAACATATTTCTGCTGATTTAATCTTGTACATAGATTATGTATATTTGTTTTGTTTTCTGGCTTCATTAAATATATTGTTAACTGCAGAAGAAAAACCTGATATTGAATTTTGGATAATGCATCAGAAAATCCGACGCATAATCTCTAGTGTCAAAAAAGATGCTGAAAATACATGTATCAGATAGTCCAAGAAATAATGAATCTGCTATTTCCCTAACTACTACATCCCACCTTTGTACATTTGGTCCCATCCTTAATCTCACCTTTTTTGCTATTCTAGTTTTGATGATGTTACGTTTATGGCCAACTGTTACTTTGAATTTTACTTTCGGACGAGGCCTATCTGACGCGTCTGAAAAGGTTGAAGAGTGGCCTACATCTTCAACCTGTTGAAATTTAAAGAATTTGACTGAGATGTCGATAGTAACCTGTTTCTAACGTAAGGATGTTCTTTGTCAAAGTGACCTCCTTATTCACACTTAACGCAAGTTTGTCTGCTTGGGCTACTTGATTGAGTTCTAACTCCTACACTATCTCGACTGTTCGATCTGTAATTCTTTTTCTCACTTGAGGATTTTAAAATTTTGAGGATATCTTGAATGTTAGTTTTCTATTTCCCTTGTATCATCTTCTAACCTGTTGACCCTTGATTCTAGTTTTGACACTTCTGTTTGTTCTGTGTATTATGTTGATGTTTGTTTTGTGTTGTAAATAGCCCCAACTTTGTTTACATTTTCTTCATCTTTCTCACTCTCAATCTTCACCCTTCTTGCATCAGATTTTCTAAAATCTAATATGAGGTTTAATTTTGATTTGCAGTGGCATCTTTTAAGTATTCTGTTGCAATGCCTACTATTGGTGGGCTTTTCTCCATTGCAAGGAGAGCAGCTTGTTTGTTCAAACATCCTCTTCGAAATGCATTTACTGCTACAATTTGTTGGTCATTTTCAGGTGTGTCTGGATATCAATTTTTTGTCATGTCTACGACTTTGTCTGCAAATTCTTTTACTGACTCATCAGGACTCTGTTTGATGTCTTGAAGTTTTCTTCTTATAATATGAAGGAGGTCTTCCTTTCCACACCTGTTCTCAATATGCGAGAAAGGTTTCCATTCGTTCTTTCCATCAAATGTTGACATTTTTGGTGGGTTTGGACCTTTCCACTCATTTGAGTTTTCAAATCTAAATTTTCTTCCTCTCCACTGATTTTTTCTTCAAGTTGTTTGATATGGTGTTCTAGTTGGTGTATTTTACTTTGCCACTTGTCTTGATCAAGATGTTTTTGTTCCATTATTGCCAGTTCTTCATTCTTTGATAAAACAGCTGTCTTAATTTTACTGAATTTATTTTAATAATATGTTCTTGTGCTTTCTAATTCGATTACAAATTTTTGCTGTATTTTTTTTCATTTTATTTTCATCTTCAGATCTAAGTGTGTTTTCCAGAAATTCTTTTTGCTTTTGTCTAGCAATGATATCTTTTTCTAACTGTGCAATTTGTGATTGTAATCTTGTAATCTGACTCGATGGATCTTCAACATTTGATCGTGTCTTTTCTTGTTGTTTCTCTCTCTCCCTAAAAACAAGCATACCCTCTTTCATCAGGGGACCCCAGATTGTGCTTGGGATTGATGGTAAAGCTTTGAGATCTTCTACAGTAAGAACCCCTTCTCTTCTCTTAACCTAATGATAAGCCCTGCCCTTTTTTCTTCAATGTTTGGGATTGTTTTTATTCCCCATAAGTTGGCATTGTTTAAGTTTTCAGGTTTCTCATTAGATGTCATTTCGGTTTTCTACTTTGTTGAGAAAATAAAGATAGAAGAAACAGACGTGTTGTTGATTAACTATCAGAAAGTCCGACAGAAAATCGAGAGTGAAATGTTTACGATCGTTATAAGAAAATCCGACAACAGATCAAATGCAATCTAATTGAAAAATGAGAAAACAGTTAGGAAATTATAGAAACCGCCATTCAATTTATATTTTGAAAAAGAATTTTTTTTGATAAGATAAACGAAAAACAAAGAAAAAAATGGCGCGAAATATGAACACACAACGTCGCACTTCATCGATCGAAAGATCCTACCGGAGACACCAATGTTGTGAAGTGCATAAGATATTCTACATAATAATACAATAACGAATATAATAAAGACTTGCAATGGTGAGGGGTAACGTCAGTTACAACCCACCTGAGCTGTGGACCTCGAAAGACCTCTGTATGGTTCCATTATTAGAAATTAAACACTCGATGTACGTAATAAATTGTAATCCAAACCCGACCTCTTTTCTACTACAACAATAACAATTGTTTAAGCATATGATGGAATTGGGTGTAAAATGTGAGTCATTAAGCTTAAGCTACTTCATACGGGTGAGGAATAGATAGATCGACCTTCACCTCGTCAATTTCGGAAGACCCGCTCAAATGATTACACACCTGTGTAGCGTACACACTCTCAAATCCCCAGATTTTATTTTTTAAAGATTTAAACAATCACAGGTTATTGCTGCTCCAAACTGATTAGCAGCTCAGATATAATTAGAATAGGTTCTCGCAAGGAAAGTGACCAATATAATTAGCTTGTCAATTAGTAAACAAACAATTATGTCTCTCTAATCCCGCTATTTTCTACCTTCTACGATATAAGCATGGAAAAATAACTCTACTACAAGAAGAAAACTTTGTATTAAATTTACGCTGTTTTATTTTCCACGATTCAGAACTCGTCCCGAACAAAGCGGAAATTGGATACACGTGGGAAAAAAACACTGATACACGCTATTTCAGTTGTGTTTCTGTTGACACATAAATATAAGTTACAGTGTATTACCTTGATGCAATTTATGTCGCAGAGATTATGGTCATGGTTTGGTTTCGTATGGAGAAAGGAAAAGTGTATTGGAAAAAGTATGCAGCAATTGTCATGCGCGGATCTAGAGGGGGGGTCGGGTCAGGACCCCCCCTGGAATTTACAAGGTTAAAAAATGTATATACTAAAGCAAGAAAAAAGTTACCTTGGACACCCCTTGGAAAACGCTGACCAACCCCCCCCCCCCCCCGGTAAACGTGAATATGTAAGAAAAGGGTATGAAAAGTGAAAGCTTTGAGGCAATAAAAGTCATGGACTACCCCCCCCCCCCCGGCACGAAAAAGGTTTTTCAGGTTTGGGCGAGTTTGGGGGGGTTTCTTTTTTCTTTTTGTTTGCTTGTCAAGAAATTTCTGGGATCGGATTTTTTTTTCTGACAGGGGTGGACCCCCCCCCCCTGGATCCGCGCCTGATTGTGTTTACCTAATTTTATAGGTTTTCACAAGTGTTATTTTTTAGCTTGTCAGGATGGATGGTATGGACCTAATTGTACATCTAAATGCAGCAGAAATTGTAAAAGCAATTTACCATGTGACAGGGCGAGTGGGAAATGTGAAAGCTGTGCAGATGGCTACATTGGAACTTTTTGTAATAAATGTAAGTACATATCTGCATTATCGATCAATCAGGTGAATCCTAATTTTGCATTTTTTTTTCAGAAAATTTATTCTTATTTAATTAAGGTAATTGTAACACTTTCTAAAAGGAGTATATTTTTCAAATTCTCTTCTTAAAAATATGTTTATAGTAAAACAAAAACTTCTTATGCAGCATGTGCAAATGGCAAATACGGACAAAATTGTTCCAAGAGTTGTAATGCCAAATGTCGAGGTCAAAACTGCTTTCATGAAAATGGATTTTGTACTGAAGGATGTGAAGATGGATACCAGGGAAACACCTGTACCGAAAGTAGGCAAATAATTTATTGCAATAAGAAATACCCAGGTATATTCAAATAACACTAGATAGAAAATGAATAACCATACAAAATTCACTTAAACTATTACAGAATATCTGTTAGATTGAACACTGCGCATGTGCACGTGGATGTACAAAAGCAATGAACAAACGCATGTCTGTGTATCCTTAGTTCAATTTTAATTACATAAAGATATAAGAAAACAAAAAATAAATCTTAAGGGAAGAAAAGAGAAATTTATTTGCAATGACTCGAAAATGTTTTACGTTAGATTAATTACACTTGTATCAGAGTTTAACGCTTTACATTTGAAAAAATAGGAGGTTATCAGATAGAAAGAAAATCATTTCATAATATTGTTTTAATCCTCTCTCTCTCTCTCTCTCTCTCTCTCTCTCTGAGTTTTTTCTTCTTCTTTTATGTCAAGAATGTAACAATGGATGGTATGGAAAAAATTGTACTGGGGAATGTAACTTTAACTGCGTTGGAAAATCCTGTCACCATGTAAATGGACACTGTATCACTGGTTGTAAACCTGGATGGACCGGTCTGAACTGCAGTCAACGTACGTAAACACATTGTACAGAAATTGATTACCAGGCAGAATTCACATATAATAAACAGTGGACTTGATTTTTAAAAATCCAAAGCATTCAGGCGTGGCATGAGCAAATTTAAATGAAACACGATTTACAGTTTGTCAGAAAAGACAGCGTATACGAATCATTGATCGCCTTATTATTTATTAAAAACACATTTACAAATCAACATGATTGGCATATTTTCTAATTACTACTTCATACGAAATATAACTTGTAGAAGAAGCTTGAAAAATTGTATTGATAAATGCCTTCTTCGCAGCAAAATTCAACGCAACATGACTTTAATGTACATTTACTAAGATTTTGATATTTGAAAAGACTACACACATAACCCAAAACGTCAAAGTTGACGTACAACATTCAAAAGTTTTATTCGTGATAAAGTTGTTAATGTCAGTACTGATGATTGACTTATACGTGATATAAGTTGGCTATCATAAATGTTAGGCATGAAAATTTTTCATTGTCCATAGAGTTATTTATAATCATGCCTATTTTCAGCTTGCAGTTTGGGATTATACGGAGAAAACTGCTCAGAAACATGCAGTTCTTTCTGCAGAATAAGTCTTCATTGCAACAATACTAATGGAAATTGCGACGATGGCTGCATGGATGGATATATAGAGCCAAAGTGCAATAAAAGTGTGTTTTGAATAATTTATTCATATTGCATTATCAATGCAAATTAAGCAATATACATGTGTATCAGAAATATTGCTTTATAATTATTCAGAAATAATTCAATTTATTAAAATATTTTCATTCATAAACTAATCTTTATATTACATGTAGACTCCCTACCCAATTTTAAATAAAATTTGAGCAGATATCATTTTATTATTATTATGCTTTGTACAATGATTAAAAAGTCTGCAAGAGTGGCTGGTTTGGCAAAAACTGCTCCCAATACTGTAACGTAAACTGTGTAAACCAAACGTGTGACCACAGAGATGGGTTTTGTACATCTGGATGCAAGTCAGGCTGGAAGTCTTCCAACTGTTCTGAAGGTATATTCAAGTGTCTACAAAAACTTTAATTTGTGTAAATAACAGTAGCATATACCGTACTTAGACTTATGTAAAGCATAAAGCGCCGTATATTATTATGCTAATTGCATTTCGTTAATTTAATGTTTTTTATCTGTGTAGTGTGTGATGTAGGCTCTTATGGCAAACATTGTTTAAACAGCTGTTCAAACTGCCTTAAAAACCTATGTGATCCTTTCAATGGAATCTGTACTGAGGGATGTGACAACGGATATTTGGGTAAAAAATGTGATAAACGTAAGTTGTTATCAATTATCAGATACTCCAAAGATTTTATTGAAATGACATAAACAAACAGAAATTATAATTTCTTGCTTACGAAAATCTTACAGGATTTGCATTCCTCTTGACTTTAATTTTGTTTTTTTCTAAAGTTTGTGATATAGGATGGTATGGGAAGAATTGTTCCGATACATGCAATCAAAATTGTGTAAATAAGTCATGTAACAACACACATGGTGGATGTATTAAAGGATGTGAACCTGGATGGATGGGATTTAACTGTTCTGATGGTAAGAATTAACGAATAATAAATATGTATGCACATACTCGTATATAAACAACATTCTACACCTAAATATTTAAGTACCACAAAACTTATCATTATTACTTTGGTGTCATTTTCAAAGAAATGTTTTTAAATATTTTTCACATATCCATTTAGTAAATTGTCGCAGTTTTAAACATGTGAAATAAGCTGAAATGTTTTACAATTTATGTACGTTTATCAAACAAAATTTACAGATTGTATGTATGGGACCTATGGAGCAGATTGCAAAGAAAGATGTGGCAACTGTGCTGACAATGCAACATGTGATAGGTTTAATGGAAGTTGCATGAATGGATGTGAACAAATATTCACAGGGGATAAATGTGATAAGAATAGTAAGTTTTCAATTTTTATATGTGAATAATAATGAATTATTATTTATCATTATTGTAATCTTACAATTTCACAGTTGAAATTCCTAAGCTTCGCTTCTACATCTTTTGACGCTCAAATCTCTTTTTTTCAAAGTCAAAATGAACTTAATTTTCTAAATAATCAGCAGAGATGCGGTCAATTGTTAAGGAAAGTCATTAATTGAATAACAAATTACAAATTACAAAAAGTTACGAAAGTTACAAAAAAAATACTATTTAAGTATATGATCATATACATTCCAATATATTTATAGTAGATTATTTTACAACATTTTTACAGTAATATTATTAAAATGCTGAAATAATTTTCCAATAATGTGCCCCTAACCTACATCTATTAAATTAGAAGAATTTCCTACCAAGCTGAATCTTTTATTATTTCCACTGGGGCATTTGTGAGAAGAATATATGGATACTGAGTAGTAGACAGTTTAATTTACTTATGGCTTTACCTTAATCTATATGTAAAAAAAAAGTTGGAATCATTTTTTAGCTTAGATCCAATGTATTAATGTTAAACGTACAATGGATGCTTTTTATCCTAATATTTCCTTATTTCAGCATCATAAGCTATCTCATGTCTCAAAATGTTAGTATTTGACTTATTCTGTGCTAATCTGCAATTTAAAGTCAGAGTTAAAATGTGTGAAAAATATCTATAAAGGATTATGTACATGATCTCAGTGCACTAATTACATATAGCACCTGTTCATAACTTCTAACACAAGCTGAAGATATTGAAAGCAAAAGGATTAGAAGCTACTGGAATACTTATTATAGCGCCAAATTCATTAAAAAAAGTTATAAATTCTATTTGTATACTTTACAAAGACTAATTTGATATAAACGTTTTGAAGAAAATGAAAAAGGGCAATATTTAAAGTGCAATTTACTTAAAAGGGATATGATTATGTTCAAATTCTTTTTAATAAGAACTTTTACAATCAAACTATTTTGTCCAAAACGTCATTTACAGATAGACCGGTCATGGTAGCCCAGTGGTAGAGCGTTCGCTTCATGATCGTGAGGCCCAAGTTAGAGTCTCGTTCGCGGCGCCTTGTTATACCTAAGACGTAAAAATAGGTAGTGACTGTTCCTTCGCCAAGCGCTCGGCAATAGAAGTGAAAGTCACGGGTCTTTCGGATATGACCTTAGAAACGTAGTCCCGTGTCAGTAGAGGCGCTGGCACGATAAAGAACCCTCACTGCTCAATGGCTATGAGTGCCAAGTATAGGTCTAAATTTGAAGCTCCTCACCGGCATACGGTGACGTCTCCATATGAGTGAAAAATTCTCGAGAGGGACGTTAAACAATATACAATCAATCACTTACCGATGGAAGGGGGGGGGGGCTTTTTTCATTTATCTAAAATCAGTGTAATTGAATGTAGTTCTGGATTCCATACTTTTTTTTTGGAAAGTGGTTTATTAAATTACAATTACTTGTAATTGAAAATATGGTCAATAACACATTACGTTCAATTAACATTATTCTATCCCTGATCTACCATCTTTATGTGATAATCCCAGACTGTCGATACCATACTAATTCAGGTCGTATTAGTAAACGCTTAGTACTTCTACGGGTTTTGATGCAGATCATCTCAAATGTACGATGACCGATATGAGCCGTCAAATTACAAGTAAGAGTAGTTCTATCATGTATGGAGAATTATTTGACTTTCGTGTATTTATGTATATAAAGGAATTTATGTGATCTAAATACGTACAAAATTGCGTATTTTTATTAATCTCCATTTTGTGTGAATCCATGGGTTCCAAAGGGACCTCTTGTTCCTTCATTTTTAGTTGTTAATGTGGCTGATTTAAGGGGGGTACACCCGGCGCATCCCCCCTAAAATTACCAAAGTTAGCGTAAATCACAGTTTCGTCTAGAGGATGTAAATATGTCTACTTGGTAGACCTCTTTTTTTACACTACAAAATCTCTAGAATCCAGGAGCTTCCAGGGGTTTCGCCCCCTGGGCCCCCAACAGGCCTTTGCCCTGGACCCACTGGGGGCCTCAAGGCGGCCTGCCTATTTTTTGCGCCCCCTCTAACTTCAATTTCTGGATCCGCGCTTATTTAATATTGTTTACCTTACATCAATTGATCACAAAATGCAACGATTTTTTGGGGGGGTCTTTGATCTCAAAATTTAATTTTTCTCATCATAGAATATTTTGTGTCTATTTATTTAGTTTCCTCTTGGTTTTGTAAATTCTAACTTTCACAACAAAAAACCTTCATTCGTAGGCCCCAAAATACTGGTTAAAGATTCCAGAAACAATGGAGCTGCATCTTTATTGCTTTTTATTCGCCAGATGAAAATCTGTCGCTTGATGATCTGCGTAAAAAATGTGTTTATTTTTTATTCTATACTTTGCACTGTTTCCATATTACTTTTTTTCTTCGTTATTTTATTTTCATTGGAACGAGTAAAAAAAAAATAGAATTAGGAAATACATAACGTTTTACAAAAAGATGCAGCTGATTTACGATGGAATCTGAAAAAAGACTCTCACAAAACATACAAAATATGCCTTCAATGATGGAAAACCCCGACAGATAAGATCACTGACAATGTTTGTAAAATTAAAATCAATCCTACTGTTTTATGTATCATTAAAAGAATTGGAATACAGCATTAACATGTATTTACCCACCCTCATTCGTAAAAAAAAAAACAAAAACAAAAACACACGTGTTTTTGTTTAGTCTCCGTCCCAAATAACAGAAATCTACGGAATGTTTCCTCGATAGTTCGATCAAGCGACAGATTTTCATCTGGATAGAAAAAATAATAAAGATGCAGCTCCACTGTTTCTGGAATCTCTAACCAGTATTTGGGACTACGAAGGAGGTTAAGATTCTGTTATCATGAGAGTTAAATAAAAAAAAAAACAGAGAAATCTAAATAGAAGCAAAATATTCTATGATAAAAAAAATAAATTTTGAGATCAAAGACAAAAAAATCCAATATCGCTGCATTTTTTGATCAATTGAAGTAAGGTACACAGCATTTATTAAACAACTAAAATGGGGGAAATTAACAGGAGAAATTAGAAGAAAAATCAGATAACACCTGTTTTTTATTTTGTCCCTTCTAAGTTTTTTTGACAAAGTGTACATGTACAAAATGATACAGGTAATACTACTAAAGTCAAATAATTCTGCGTACATAATAGAACTACTCTTACTTGTAATTTGACGGCTCATATCGGCCATCATACAAATGAGATTTAAAAAGGCATACAATTAATCGTTGCAAATACTTACCATAATGACAAACACACCTTTCCATTTCGTGGCTTGTTACAAGATATCTTATAAACTCCTTATCTCTCTACTGCAGAAAATCTTTTAAAGCATATTTTCAATCATTTGAAGTCTTAACACGCATTCTCTGTAAGCACCAACGAATTTACTATAGGGCTTGGAAACGACATGTCTCGGATTTTGATGAAATTTTTACCATAGGTGTGTCTTGGTACAAAACTAGTAAATATGGTGTCGGAAGTTCCACACGTGCACTTGGTTGCCATGGAGACGGATCCATTGAATTTGGCCATTTTTGGCCCATTTTGACTAAATGAAAACATGAAAATTGAGGAAATGTAAATGAATATTTATCGGTATCTAATACACTCTTACAAAAATCATTAGATCATATGATAACATGACCTTTTAAGGTACACATGTACAGAGCATATAATCGTTTATTCTAGAAATATTCTTCCTGTAAGAAAAAGGTCATGCAAACTGACATGGTTTCTAAAAATTTGAAAGATGGGGAAATTGAAATTTTTAGAGATCTTTGAGGCTAAATAAGAAAAATTGTCCGCGGAAATTTCCCAAATCTTATATGTGTTATTATACTTGGGAATAAGTAGTGTCATTTCATGAAAAAACATAAGTGGGCTTTTGCTCCTAATTTTAGTAACATGTATCTATAAATAGATATATTTTAGAAATATGTGAAAAATCAAATTTTGGCAAAGTTTAAATTGTCATTAATGCATAATTAGAACGTATGTTGTAAAATTTGAAATTTAAATGACAAGAGCTGGACACCACTAGCTGGTATGGATAATTGATGAGGGGAATTCCCATTTCTATTTTTAGTATCAGGTGGCTATATATAGATATGTCTCTGAATATTAGGAAAATTGGCATTTTTGTTCTAATCGGAAGCTTCATATAAAAAGTCCTAACAAATATAAAGCTTTCTACAATATGCTTTCAGAATGTACATGTGTTTGTTCAAAAATTGTTTCAATCTTGAGGATGGACTCTTGTTTCATTTAATGGCAACAATTATCTAAAAATAGATTACTCGAATAATTAAGAAAATGTAGATTATTGCACCTTTTCAGGCAATTTTTAGATGTAGTTGCTGCATTATTAGGAAATATTTTGTACAATTTTAGATGTAAAAGACAGGATCTGGATACCACTAGCAGGTATGGCTAATTGATGGGGGGAATTCCCATTTCTATTTTTAGTATCAGGTGCCTAAATATAGAGATGTCTCTGAATATTAGGAAAAATGGCATTTTTGTTCTAATTTGGAAGCTTCATATAAAAAGTCCTAACAAATATAACTTTCTACAATATGCTTTCAGAATGTACACGTGTTTGCACAAAAATTGCTACAATATTGAGGATGGACTCTTGTTTCATTTTATGGCAACAATGGTCTAAAAATAGATTACTCAAATAATTTGAGAAAATGTAGCTTATTGCACCCTTTCAGGCACTTATAGATGTAGTTGCTGCATAATTAGGAAATATTTTGTAAAATTTTAGATGTTGATGACAAGACCTGGATACCACTAGCTGGTTTGGATAATTGTTGAGGGGAATTCCCCTTTTTCTATTTTTAGTATCAGGTGGCTAAATATAGATAGGTCTCTGAATATTAGGAAAAATGGCATTTTTGTTCTAATTGGAAGCTTTATAT